GATCCCAACCCTGCTTTGACCATACAAAACAGGTTCATGGTTCTGCTTAGTTCATGGTTTTCCTGATTCTTAAACATGAAGGTTTTCTGAGTAGATCAGGGGTCCCCAAACTTGGCAACTTTAAGACTTTGGACTTCTGGGAGTTGAAGTCCACAAGTCTTAAAGTTGCCAAGTTTGGAGACCTCTGGATTAGATAATCAGATAATCTGCTAAGAATCTCACAGTGTTTATTTGTTTTCACGAAGTATGATGATAACCAGGCTGGTCTTTGTCCATATATGAAACTCTTAACTATAGGAACATAAGAATTCTATATTCATAGGGATTCTCTATTTAGGATGCACTTATTTTAAAACACCACTTTTCTCCTTCCTTTACAAACCCAAGCCGAGCTCTCCAACTCGGAGGTTAACAAAAACAAAATTCTGAAAGTATCGAGAGCAGATGAGCAGCTAGTTCATCCATGTCCCTTTAGGCAACTTTTGTTTTCAATAAAAAGATGTTACAATTTCGGTTTTAAATTTACCTAGCAACTAAGCACGGTGGCTCCCGAGGTTAGAATGCTGGGCTGACAATGAGCAGACTCACGTTGGAGACCCGTTGCTGCCACAGGGCGGGTTGAACTCCCGTCACACGCTCTGGCTCCCACCCACTCAGCAGTTCGAAAGCGGGTGACCACAAATAGATTAATGGGTACCACTTCGGTGGGCAACTTCAAAAGGTACATGAAAGGAGCCCACTACTGGTCACTCCCCCCACCCCGCCAACGGTGATGTCACCAGCAAATCCTTTCGCCACGGAAGCACTTTGATGCTTCCAACAAGGAAGTACTAACTAGGATAACCTGGAGCAAGATCAGATATTAAAAGAGTTCTGTTCCGGGAACGTTTGAAGGTTGGCATCCAGCAAGGATGAAGGATGTGTATAATTATGGTTGGTTCTTTTTTTTTATATTTCTAGGAGGAAACGCGAAAGAAACCCAAGATGACAATTGTAGAATCGGCTCAGCCTGGCAGTGAGCCTCTGTGTACTGTGGATGTGTGACGGGAAAGATTAGGAACTGGAGCAATAAAACAAGTGGCGAAAGTTAGGAATGGCTTTTTTCAGTTTTTACTTTGTCAACAGTTTGAAGGAGAAATTGGTTTGCTTCGGGAAACAACCTAACCATCAAAGCTGCTTCCAATGTGCATTGTGCGTTTGCCTCAGGGTGATAATGCTAAGTTTTGTGTGTGCTTCCCAAAATGATGTTATTCAAGAGGGCAAAAAAAAATCTCCCCAGCCGTACATTTAGAGAAGCAGACGCGGGGTTGTTCCCCTGGGCCAACTCAACTCCCCATCCTTTCCAAAAGAAAGGAGTGTTGCCTTTGATAGAGATGCTTAAGAATTAAATGCAGGGTGTTCATTTAAAGAGCGGAACGAACGTGTAACCCAGGAGAGCATAGTTCTTCCTGCTTTTAGGAACACTGCAGACACTTGTTTTCTGAAAGGGTTTCTTGTATTTCCGCACAAAATAAGCACTGGTTGCAGCCTCTTGACAGCTACATTGCAGGAAAGACACAAAAACGTGCATCACTCTATGCCCTGCTGAGTTAGGCCAGTAGGATTGCTTCTCAAGTGAATTTTCGCAGGCTTAGGATTTTTAGCATGGATCCAGTGATTATCAGAGAAGAACTGATTGTATACAGCTCTTGAGGTTTCCATTCTTTTAATTGCTCCATTTAAAACAAAGACTAACATAGGAAGCTGTGATTGTAAGATACATTTCAGTTTCTCTTAGATGTAACCAACGAAACCTTTGGCATAAAGGTGAGCCAAGCATCACTGCTCTGAAACTTTTCTTCATGCTAGTAGGGCTCATAATAATGTTTCCTCACAGTTTGCCAGATTAACCGTGAATGTAGCAGCAGTGGTCGGTAAGGTTTCATATTTTATCACGTTAGTTAAAGTTGCAACATCTAGCATTTATATTCCCCGCCAGGAAAATCACTGGATACCTTTCAAGTCAAGATTTTTGCTTTTTTTTTATGTGACTGCCTTTTTCATTTTTATTGCCTGTTTTAGTACTCGCAAATCTGGCTTTGGGAACTATATGAATGTAAAGCGAAATGCATCAGAGATGTATCTCTAAAAAGACCGAAGTAAATTTCTGTTGTTGAAGTAAAGAATATGTGTGAAGATATAAACGTTTTCTGTTCTGGTCCATGGTTATAGAAGGTTCGAGAAGCAAAAACTACTGTGAAATAAATCCATACCATTTTATGACCCCCCCCAAATAAATAAATAAATAAATGTTTATGGAGATTCTCAGTCATCCAGGTCATGGTTGTCCCAAAGGTGCTTTTTCAAGAGGCAACTAAACTTTGTTCTTCTTTGAAGACATTTTGTTTCTCATCCAAGAAGCTTCTTTAGTTTTTTTTTTTTTTTTTGTAAAAAGTTTATTTCAGTTTTCCACATTTTAAAAACATCTTTTTTTAGTGAACAGCATGATTCCAGGTTTTCACATTTCCATACAAACGTGACTTTGATTACATATTCATCTTTCACATTTAAATTCTAATCTTATCATTGCTTTGCATATTTTCTATTAGTTTTCTTAGATTCTGAAATGCAGAAAAGTGCCAGGATCTCCAATATATATATATATATATCAGACGAACACTATACAGAAGCCTGATGATGGCAGATGAGATTCTGCCGAAACGTTGCTACAACTTTAAAAGCACAACTACAATGACGTGGGAAAATACCCGAACAAAGCTGAATAACATACATGTAAGCACCCGCGAAAACGTGTGTGTGTGTGTGTGTATACACACACACACACACACATATATACTGTTTGTCCAACAATACGGCCTCCCCCAATAGGAAGTCCCAGCATGTTTTATAGGCATGCAATGAAATTAAGCCCCTCTCCCCAAATTAAGGCCTATATTAAAACATGCGAAATGGTGGAGGGGCTTGCCGTTAGGAAGTACTTTTGTTGCACACCCGGATATGGTGCTGCCTGTGTTGACCCTGATACGAAGTGCCCCACCAACGCCAAGGTCAACATCCAAGCCGTCGCCGCCCACCCGCCCGAAGATGCAAGGGGGGGGGGGAATTAAGTCACCCGAAAAGACGGCCTAGCCATTTTTTCGGGGCTCAAAAAAAAATAAGATCCGGCCTTATTATATGAGAAACACGGTGTGTGTATATATATAGGGCCACAGATTTTGTCTTTCAAGCTTTCTGACTCACGCTGGAGCCCCTCTTTCAATATTTGAAACCTCTGAATAAAACGTTGTGCAATAGCATTTATCTCTGCAGGAGGTAGATTGCTTCAGTTGGAAGCTTATTCCAACAGAAATCTTGGTAGGAATAAAAAAATAAATCCAATTGCGTAACAGTTAAAACACTTGCATTCCCTCTTGATACTTGCATCTATTTCTGGGGCCCTTGGATGACATTTTAGCCCTGTAGAATTTTATCCCATTTTATGTTCCCTCAGGTCAGTTTGCCACAGAATGAAGCATGACATTAAGTGTCTGATTTCTGTTCTTCAAACAGCCCGTTTCTAATTTTTTTATCCTAGTATTAAAAACACCAACGATCCAAGGAGAAGTCGGATATTTCTTTTCTACGTAAGATTTCTTACCGGGGCTGGGAAATTTTCCCAAGCTTAGAATGGTTTTTTTGGGGGGGCAGGTCCTCTGCTGAGTATCACAGTTGCCTCTTTTCCAGAAGTGTTTTTCTTAAAGTTGAGAGTATTTGGTTTTGGCCTTACCTGTCGGAATTGGTGAAGAGGTGACCACCGCCTTTAATAAAAACACCCTTTCGATGTGTCATTGTAAACCAAAGGCTAGTATAAGAACATTATGCATTGCAGGCAGTCCTCGACTGACCCTAATTTTGAGCCCCAAATTTCTGTTGCTAAGTGAAACATTTTCTCAAGTGAGCTTTGCCTCATTTTTACGGTCTTTTTCGCAGCAGTTGTTTAAGTGAATCCCTGCCGTTGATAAGTTAGTCACATGATTGCTAAGTGAATTTGGCTTTTCCATTGAGTCATAAAAGATGATTACATGCCATGGGGACACAGCAGCAGTCATAAATATGACCTAGTTGCCACGCATCTGAACTTTGATCACACGATCATGGAGATGCTAGAAAGGTAACTGAAAAATGGTCATAAAGTCACATTTTTCAGTGCCGTTTGGTCACGAAACGAACCGTTGGAGGTCAAGGACTTACATGTATTTTAACTAGTGCTGCAGCATCTTCGGCAAGGTTTTTCAACCATGTGCAATAACAGCCGGGACAAAACCCCTTGTCGTCGTCGTTTTCCCTGTGAAGTATTTCTCACCCCTGCCGATATTTTGCGGATACTTTGCGGAGTGTAAACTGTCTTTATAATTCGCCCCAAAGCACAAGCTACAATGAGCCACCTTCAGATCCATTCATTCCAGCTTCTGCATGAATGTGCAGAAGTGTGCAGTCTGATAAGATATTCGAAAACTTTGTCGTAGTCCTTGATTAACTTATGGTTTTTCTAGTCAAATCACTTGGGATTTTAGTTTTGACGCCTAAAATTATAGCTGTTCTTTTTTCTCTCTCTCTCTCTCCCCCCCACCCCCAATTTTAACCCTCATTAAATCCGTGTATTTCTCTGGATGGGCCTGTTCTTCGTTGCACCGTCCTTCAGGAAAATAAGGCTTTCTTGCCTTTTATTCTTTCCTTGAGAAATGTGGGGAGACTGTTGAAATGGTCGTAAGTGGTCAAATAACGGATGCCGAAAAATTAGACGCTATCCACTTACAGCCCCAGTGAAATTTTATGTCTGGTTACTTGGGATTAACTCCCGGGAACAAATCTGTGTTCTAACGTTGCTCATGCCGTACTTACAGAAGTATTTCACTCTAGCTCTTTTTCCAACTTATACTAATCTGTGTTCTTGGTGATGGTGAAAACTGAAATAATCCCTAATGTCAGTGGGGGTGTTCCAGATTTTAAGATGGCCTGTCGGTCAGTCCTTTGGAACCATTTGCAGTGATTGATTGCAGTATTGTATTTTGAAAATGAATGTGACCAACTCAAATGTTAACCAGGTGAATTGTATAAGTTGAGTAATACAAGTGGTTGGTTGGTTCCCTTTATAAAGTCTTATTCTTTGAGCCTCTGTGTTACGACTTTTTGGTTACTTGTGTGTTTCCCCCAAATATTAGTTTTCAGCAATAAAGTTCGATATTATATCAGATTATTTTTTTCATCTGCTACTGCCAGTCATCGTCTCATTTTGATCCCTTAGGGAAGAAAACTCCATTTCCTTGAAGAGAAAGGTACTTTTACTGAGAGATGCTGGTTGCAATAAAGTCAGGTGGAATCTGAGTTTCCCACACATCAATACCAAACTATTTCCTTCAGTCCTATCTCCCCACCCCCCACCCAATGACTAGTCCAAATCCAGCCAACGTGATGCCGGTGGGATGTTTTGGGAACACTGAGGTGTTTGGGCTGGTAACTTTCCACTCTCGGGCAAATGGTCTTGAACAATCGGTTCTACATGGATCTTCTTTTCTTCAACCTCCCCAAACTTCCATACACAAATGCATCCAGTGTTATTGCCCATTTGTCCCCCCCTTTCCCCTAATCCTTTAATGGAAGGGCACCTGCATGGCACCAAGCCGAAGATTGCGGCTTTTTTTTTTTTTGAAAGTTGTACCACCAAGAGAAGCAGTTATGAATCATGCAGCCTTAATTTTCTCCTATCTAGGAGGGTGATGTGATGGGCAGAGCAAATTTCCTTCCATCTGTGTTTCCCATGTGAGTGAAGAGTTAAATAAAAGTGTATCTGCTTGGGGCAGGAGAGAGACCCTCTTAAAGCAGTGGTTCTGGTCTGCGGACACCTGGGAGACCACAATGTCATTGCAGGAGGTCTTGCGAAGGCTTGAAAAATATTTACGTCTTAAGTCTTGGGGAGCCCTGTGGCGTCCATGGTCACAAACGGTATTTAAAAGGGCTCTGAGGTGTTTAGAAAAGGTTTAGAACCCCTGCCTTCAAGTGTTTCCTGTTTTCTAAGTATTCTGTCATTTTGTGGTTCTTTAAACCATATTAAAACTAGGGGATTCAGCAATTGAATGAAGTAGAATTTAATGCAGGAAGTTCTTGACTTATTTGTCGCCTAGTCACTCTCTTTGCAACCCATATGATGCGCGTGATGGGCTGACTCCATTATGGTTGTACATCCTGGACTGCCTGGATTGTGGCAAATACAACTTGGACCATAGGCTAGGAACAAAGAAAGAAAGGTAACACGAAACGCCACCCAATGGCTTTAATTCGTTTAGTACACAGAACTCTCATCCCCATTTGCTCCATGATTTCAAAAATGCGCCATTATAAAAAAAAAAAAGTAGTCTGAAATTGTATCTTCAGGCCTTTTGCTTCCAACAGTCCCCTTAAATTGTTGACCTACTTCAACTTGGCACTTTTTCAAAAATTTAAGCAGAAGCTGGCTGGGTAATGAAAGGGAGGAGCAACAGACCCTTTTAAGACTAGGAAGTAAAACACAAGGGCCTTTCTGTGCTGGGTGGACCACAAGAACCGCTAACTGGGACATCCCATCGCTGTTCTCAGGAGGGTGTCTGTGGTGTCAGCCTCTTGGGACTTCACATCTGGCATCTCCACCGTTCCCACATCTGGCATCTCCGCCGGTCTCACATCTGGAATCTCCGCTGGTTTCACATCTGGAATTTCCGCTGAGCCTGCAGGGGTGTTGCTTGCTTTGCTGTCTGGATACTCTATTCTTTCAAAGAAGAAAAGCATCTCGCAGTGCATGGTGTGGGGGAAAAGATCTACCGCCGTTGCTTTGATAACCCGGAAAGGGCTGCCCTTCACGCGATGAGAAGGCGCTCGACAAAGGCTACGGGAGAAAGGAAACAGATTACGAATCTTTGCCCTTTTATCTGAGGCCGCTTCAGTTTTGCCTGTCCGGAGTGGGGTTAACGTGAATCATTATTCGCTCATAGCAACCTGTGATAGCGAAGGAACAGCCCAAATTAGGCTTTCTGGGGGGAGGGGAGAATATTTGTAGACTCCCAACCCAGAGGTGTCAAACTGGATTTCTTGGCGAGCCGGATCAGCATTGTAGTTGGCTCCCGTGGGCTGCAGCAGTGGGAGATGGGATGGAGAGCAGACAGGATGGACACCTCCTGCAGCACTCTGCTGGCCAAAATGGGGTGCAGGGGGGCTGCATGTGGGCCCCGTTTTTGCTAGCAGAGGCACTGCAGACCGGTCCCATGGGCCAGATCTAAGCAGCCCACGGGCCTTGAATTTGACACCCCTGTTCCAACCTATACGGTCTAGAGCGCACCCTCTGCCTTTGGCCAGGTCTCCCCACTGCTCCCCACTCCCCACCCTAGGGCCTCCGGGGAATGAGGGCTGTATTTGAGATTGCAATCGCCTGTGGAAGGGATAGACCATAATCTGCCACGCTGGTGCAGTGCAGGTTGGCAGATGTGATCAGTATTAGTCTGGGGCAAGGGTCTTCAAACTCAGTAAGTGTAAGACTTGTTGACTTCAACTCCCAGAATTCCTGAGCTGGATGAGGAATTCTGGGAGTTGAAGTTCACAAGTCTTAAAGCTGTCAAGTTTGAAAACCCCTGGTCTGGGGTATCCAACTTGGCCTGTTCTCCTTTGGAGAGACCCTTCTGGACATATAGACGTCCGGCGAAATAGCCTACAATTTCGTTTACCCACACAAGACCCTTCGCCCCATCAAGGCACCCGATCATAGGATGGGGGCCTTGATACAAGTTGGAAGGGTGGAACCATGGGGAAAGAGGCCTTCATTCCACAGAGGACAAGACAACGGCTAAAGTGATGAAACGATGATTTGTAGACTCACTCCACAAAGTTGTTCATAGCAGCTCGAGGGTTGCAGGAGACGTAAAGGAGCTTTTTCAAGTGCTCGGCTTTTCGGATTGCGAGGATTACTTTGGAATCTAGGAAATTACACAGTTGGACAAACATCAGGCTTTTAGCTGCCGCGACAGTTTTTTATCCCCGTCAAGAGAAAAGGCAACATGAAAATAAGACGACAGTCACTCCGAATGGAGGGAGAAGTTCAACTTCACCGTGAGAAAGAAAAGTAGGAAAGATCCGACAGAAATTCTCCAGACCCTTTTCACCAGTGTTCAAAGCTACTCTAATTCGCTTTGCAGCATCTATTTCATCCCCAAAACTAAAAAAAGGCACATTTGGCATTTTTTTTTCCCTCCAAAAAGAAATAAGGGGCAAATTAGAAGACTGTTTACCGATCACACAGAGCAGAAAACTGGCCGTGTTGCTAAAGAACCTACGTTGAAAGCGGCGGTTGCTTCTCTTCTCACACCCAATCCTTTTTTTTGTCTTACTGTGCCACATTTTTCTGTACAATTGTGTAAATTTAAAATTCTACTTAAATGCCCCTGAGGTTCCCCATGCACACAACTTACGTAGACCTGCTCGTGGAGGATCCACAATTGTAACTGTGTTGTGCAGCGCTAACGTGTTCACGAGGTGAGGAACAAGCTCCTCAGCTTTCCCACAGTGGAATTCAACATTCATCAACCCTGAAAGGGGAGTAGAGAAGAAAATGCTTATGGTAATGTCTCATCATAAGAAATATCGTAATACCCACATCAATCTGCAGTTGGATATCCAGAGTTTGTGTACTGCAATGGTTCCCAACCTTTTTCTTCACCACAGACACCTTTAAGTACCTTTTGTGGCCACGGACCGCCAAGACTCAACTCAAGATTTAAACATTTTTTTCCAAGCCTTCGTGAAGCCCCCCCTGTGATGACATTGTGGATCCCGTGGGGTCTCCGTGGACCACAGGTTGAAAATCACTGGTGCATTGCATATAAGAACAGAATGCCATTTGGTTCTGCCAGAAATCTTTGGATTGAAAAATCAGGCTTCTCAGGTGCTACATCTTTTCTATCCTGCTCTACGGAGTTGGAGAGTTGGTCTCTGACAGAAAGACACTTGAAAAGACTAAGAAGCATTTGAAATGTGGATTTACAGGCAGTTGTTACGTATAAGTTGGGTTGACAAAAACAGAAATGAGGTGGTGATAAGCCGCCTAGGAAAGCCAAGGGAAATCATCAAAACCATAAAAAGGCAAAAGTTAGAACGTTTTGAACATGGGATGTGACACCCAGAAAAATACAGCATCGTTCACTTAATCCTTCAGGGAAAAATTGAAGGCAAAGAAGGTCCAGGCAGAAGAAGAACATCAAGGATTCAAAATCTAAGGGACTGGTTTGGACAAAGCTCAGCAGCACTTGTATGGCTGTTGATAAAAATAGGACCGCCAATGTCTGATGACGGAAAGAGGGGGAGGGGGAAGAAGAGGAGGAGGAGGAGGAGGAAGAAGAAGAAGAAGAAGAAAGAAGGAGGAGGAGGAGGAGGAGGAGGAGGAGGAGGAAATAGAAATCATCATCTTTGGAGTTGGTGAAAGTGAGCAAGAGGTTTCAGCATTTATTATATTTTACCATTCAGCTGAGCATTTGCTTTGGCATCTTCAACTGCTTCTTGGCAGAGTTCGACTCCGATAACTTTCTTCACTTTCTGCACGATAAAAAAAGGCAATAATCGGTTAACACTTTGCTGACTATGAGCAAAAAAAAAAAGTTTGCAGAATCAGGTGCAGCTCATTTCACAACCGCCTGGCTTAGCTATGGCAGTTCCAGTACTTGATTGTGGTCATAAGTCTAGGCCAAGGGTCTTCAAGACTTGGCAATTGCCAGAATTTCTGAGCTAACATGACTGGAGGAGGAATTCTGGGAGTTGAAGTCCACAAGTCTTAAAGGTGTCAAGTTTGAAGAACCCCCCTGGTCTAGGCCTACATACTAAGGGTGTGTGTGTGTGTGTGTGATGTCCCTGCTCCCCCTTCCCCATGGAAATAGGAAGCCAACCTGTTCCTTCACCTGTGCAAGAGATATGCCAATTGATCCAGTCCCACAGCAAACATCCAGCACTGTAGTTTCCTGGCTGATGTCAGCCCAATCCTGAATAGTTGAATACAGAACTTCAGCTGCCTTTGTGTTCACCTGTGAAATCCAACATTATTCTTGCTGTTAAACTCATCTAACAAGTGGACAAACCACTGAGAAAAATCTCAGCAGGTTGAAGGAAGTTTGACTTGCCATCAAACCAGAATACCAAATTAAAATTACAGTGAAACACTTAATACAGCTTTGCGTATTGAAAAGTGTAAAAGGCGCATTTGGACCATAGGGAGAAACAAAGATATGACAGGACTTCTTAAAAAAAATGTCACAATATCTTTTATCTCTGTCGCCCACCAACACTTAGGCATAAAATGTTAGTGCACTGATTTATTTTACATTATTTAATAGCTAGCAAAAAGAACAGCAGGCCTTTAAAATGCAGATCACTGTATACAGATTAATGTATGCCTCTTATTTCAATTTTTCCTTTAAGAGATACTTTATCAGCTTGTACATTACCCTTTAACGTTTTAATGCACTGGAAGGTTTACAATTAATCCTGACATAAATTATTGTCCTTATTTGGGGGGGAACCCAGGAAAATGGGCAGTTCCTCCATTTTCCTAAAAATTCACTTCGAGAAAACAGCCATTAATTCCAACTGCAAAACCAGGTTCAAAGCACAACATGGTGAAAAATTACCTGGAAAAAAGCATGAGGTGAAATCCGGAATTTTAACCCCAGAAGATCTTCCTGTATGTATTTATCACCAGCGATGTTGTTCAAAATTAAATCTTCACGATTCGGGGTTTTTCTGGAGAGGGAAGAAGCAAGAAAAAGGGGTTTTGTGACAGCCATTCTTGCATCTGCAAATCATACTCAACTATTAAGATTAGGGATAAAATTAGGGCCAGAAAACGGGTCTAAGCTGATGCTTGAACTTATTAATGCAATGATTCTTCAGCTGCAATATTATAACAAGCACAATTAAATTATCTCAAATAATGTTCACATATTAATGAAATGGAAGAGCTAAAAATGTTCCCATTTTATTGGGTGATGGCTATTTAGGAAGGCTCCCAAAGGACTAATAGACAAACCAGGAAGAAAAAAATACACTAGTTAACACTTCATTCTGATGTATTTCCAGATCCTCTTGACTGTATTGGCAGTAAGTAATTACTGTGACAGTAAAATAAAAAGTGTTAGGAATAATAGTCACCTAACAGCTGGGTTGGCAATATATATAAAACAAGAGTCATTTAATACTGTTGTATCTTTAAGAGAATGCTGTAAGTGTGACTGGCTGAGGTTCCTCCAATGGCCATAAGATGGAGCCAGAAACCTGGTTTGTTTTTCTTGCCTTTTGCCTCATTGTCATTCTGCTTGAATTGCTGTGAGTCTTGCAACTGTTCACAAACTCCGTTTACTGAACTTTGTTTATGATACAGGAAAAGGACTTTATTTTTGGATTAGCCCTGGACTGTTTTGAATACTAACTGCTTTAACCATGTATGATTTGGACTGTTTGTTGGACTTTGTTTACCCGTTTACAGGAAGTAAAACTTACATTTTACTAGTGTATCTGTGTGCAGGTTGTGTTATTCATCACCACTCTCACTATGTTTCCCTGAGCGCACTCATTCTCCTAACAGGGAATACCTCAGCAAAAAGTATTCTTGGATCTGGGGAAAACAGGCTGGGTTGCCCCTAGTCTACAATATTTTTTAATAAACCTTGAGATTTTCCACTAAATGCTTAGCATTTTGAAACTTCAGCTGTATTTTATAGCAGTTTAGATTCTCCCTTTATAGGCAGTGATAGAATCCCATCTCTGACAACCCTGAAAAATAATCTTTTGTTGTTACCTCTGGCCTTCTTCTACAAAATATAAAGATGTTATTCCGCTGTCTTTCCCAGGACCTTCTGTGAAGTATGTAGCCATTGAGGTCTCCAATGTAGCACGTTCTTCTTTGCTTAATTTCTAGAGATTCCCAAAACAAAACAAAACAAAAACCCAGAAAGATGCTTAGATGTTTTAAACATCTAAGTTTAAGTTAAGAAAAAAAAATGAAAATAGCATCTGAAGTAGAGTTGACGTTTCTCTGAGGAAACCATGTGTCAAAACCAAGAATTAACAGTTTCCCCTTAGGCATCAAAAAAGCTGCCGAAAGCCTGTGTTTTATTATAGAAAACAAATTTTATAATACCTGTGGGTTAAAATAGGCAATTGCCATGATGTGGCCATTCGAGCTAGTACGAACAGTTAGCTGTTTCCAGTGACCTTCGTAGGTTTCTGGGCTATAAACGCCATAAGAGGTTGACCTGTAATTTACAAATCCTTAATTACTAAATCAGGACATTGTAAGTGCAACTGTTGATAGGCAGCGGCCAGTGTTCCCTGTAAGATTAGGGGGGGTGCTATATAAATACTGATAGAAGAGAATTTCTAGAGCCTCAACCTTATGCCACCAGACCTAGAAAACCTAGAACTATGCCGCCTTCGGTCCGATCTAAGTATAGTATATAAAATCATACATTGCAATGTCCTACCTGTCAATGAATACTTCAGCTTCAACAATAACAATACAAGATCACACAATAGATACAAACTCAAGGTTAATCACACCAAACTTGATTGCAGGAAATACAACTTCAGCAACAGAGTGGTCTATGTCTAGAATACTCTACCTGACTCTGTGGTTTTTTCCCCCAAACCCCAAAAACTTTAACCTTAGACTGTCTACTATTGACCTCGCCCCTTTCCTAAGAGGTCTGTAGGGGGCATGCATAAGCGCACCAACGTGCCTACCGTCCCTGTCCTGTTGTTTCTTTTATATTTTTGTTTATTTTTCTTTCTGTATCCATGTATTCATAACTGTTTTTACTTATACCTATTATCTTGTAAACAATTGACAAACAAAATAGATAAATAAAAATAAAATAAATGTCTTTTTTATAGTGTGGTGACCAAAATTGTGCGCAGTACTCTAGGTGTGGTCTTACTAAGACTTTATATATTTATAGAGTGGTATTAGTACCTCCCTTGATCATGACTGTATCCCTTTGTTTATGCAATTTAGGATTGTATTGGCTTTTTGGGCTGCTGCTGCACATGGCTGGCTCATATTTAGCTGGTTGTCCACTAAGACTCCAAGATCCCTCTCTCAGTTACTGTTAGTTGGTTAGTCCGGGTTATCTAAGGAAACATCTCTTGCCAGTCACATCCACCCAAACCACTACAGCAGGGAGGAAAGGAATGTTGTGGGTCCCACCCTGAGGAAGATACACCTGGTGGGACCCAGAAGAAGGGCCTGCTCCGTGGTGGCCCTGTCTCTCTGGAACATCATGCCCCCAGAGATTAGAATGGCCCCCTTACTATTCTTCCGAAAGGCACTGAAGACCTGATTCTGCCAGCGGGCCTGGGGAACCCAGAGAGGGATGGAGCCCATCCAATGGCTAGTGTGATCTGCTGTCGTCGGGGTGGGAGTTGGTTTTTGATTTTTTGATTTGTTTTCCCAAATTTTGTTCTATTGTACTTTACTAATTTATTTTATTCTTTTTGTTAGTTTTTATTGTTTTTATTTTGTTTTAAATATATGGTTTTACATTGTGTAAGCCATGGGTGAATAGGCGGCAATATAAATTAAATAAATAAATCAACAAACAAACAAAATATTAAGCCTGGTTTCACCCAGTCTACAGGTGTCCTTTTGGTTTTTCTTTGCCTAAGTGTAAGACTTTACTTTTCTCTATCTTGAATTTCATTGTTAAGACTACATTTGTCTATCATGCAAGAGCCAAAGTTGGGGAAACAGAAAGCAGAAACCTCAGGTAGAAGAAACATTCTGGGGGGGGGGGACCCCATTAACAGCGGATGGCTCACCGTATATACTCCTGGAAAGCCCTGGCCACCTTCTTCGCCTCGGCGGGGACGTGGATGGTCTCAAAGGGTTCCACAACAGCACAGGAACCCCCCTTGTATTTGCCCAGCCGGAAGCCAACCATTTTTTCTTCTCCATTTGGGCCTAAGCCAATCAAAAATTCACATTTGTTGCGGTACTCGGTCTAAATGCAAAGCAAGGCAACATTCAGATCGGAGCCATCAGGGACACGCCTTTCCCGGGGTGCTACGAAACGGACAACAATCACAACCCATTGTGAGAATGCAGGAAGCACAGGATTTTGCTACTGCCCGCGTGGTAGCCAGGTCTGAGTGAAAAACTGTCACAAGCCACCTTTCACAGTGCCGTGGTAACATTTAGTGCAGTCACTAAATGAATGGTTGTAACTAAAGGACTACCTGTACTTTGGTCACTAAGCCACCAGTTGAGGACTACCTCTTATCCATTCCACCCTTTACGCGTCTTAGCAGCTACTCAGTGCGAACACCAAGGCTGCGTTTTGCTTCCTCTTAAAGAGTTTGATGAAACGGATATCGCACGAAACTCCCGGTATGCATGACCTGTATTGGGGATGGCTTCACTCCCTCCAAGGAGCAACAAAGCCCATCGTGCTTCTCCTTTTGCAGGAACAGCCACGGGAGCAGCGCTCGGTTGTTGTTTCCCATGTCCCTGAAATCAAAAGATTAAAAAAAGCGTTTACTGGAGAGAAGGAAGGAAGAAGACTAAACCAAAATCGGAGCCCCATCATGAAGCATCTATATACAGTATATAAAAGTGAAAGGCCACTCGCGAATCATCACAAAATCTCCAGAACCGTAAAGCCTACAAACTTTAAATTTACGTATGTTCCTCTTGGCTCCTAGGTGCTCGCTAAGAAAGGATTTTTCAAAATGACCATCAGAGCATTAGTATTTCCTGTATTATTATTATTAACACGCTCTGATGCTAAGGAGTTCTACTCCCCCTCCCCACCTGAAAAGAAATCTGTTCCAAATGCAAAACACAAGCAGAGGAGAGGAATTTGTCTCAGTTTCAGAGCAGCAACCAGCTTTAGTACAGAACAGTTGAGATAAGCATGCCCAGGCTCCTTGCTATCTCCTCCTTGCTCACACAACAAATACTGTTTCAGTTTCCAAAGAGCCCTCAACTCTCTCACACACTGACAGGATGCTAGCCAGATGAATACCGATGGATGCTGGTAGGCAGAGGCAGAATTTCCCCCCCCCCCCTTATTTTCCTCCCCCAAAACTAAGCCCGACCACATAGTTTTGTAGCAAAGCACGGGGATCCAGCTAGTCATCGCTAAGCCCCGATAGCTGTTTAAAGCGGTGGAGGATGCTGCCCCAATTTCCCAAGCGGAAAATCCAAGGAGGTGTGATGGAAAAGGCTGGCAAGGCTTTCCTGAAGGCCTCTGTAGCTGATAACAAAGCTCTGGGTCGATCCTATCGGCTGCAGAGGCCTTTATAAAAGCCTTGCGACACACGCAAGTGAGGTTAGTCAGTGGATGACGTCCCCTGAAAATAAGACCTGGTGCCTTTTTTGGCGGCAAAAAAAATAAATAAGACAAGGTCTTATTTCCAGGGAAGTATATCTACCAGGGGAATGAAGCTTCCAGAAAAGCAAATCACCTGGTCAGTTTGGCCAAGACTTCTTCACACTGCTGCTTCTTCTTCACCAGCTGCTCTTCGTAGGGAATGGTCCACAAAGGAGTCACCACATCCGCTATCTGCTTGCTTAGAGGCTCCTCCTCGCCGTCTTTGGAAGAAGCCAGGTGCTTGGCTGGCACCTCTTCGGCGCCTTCCTCTCTTTTCCTCTTCTTCAAAATGGGATCCGCTTTTGGTTTGGCCAAACGGACGCTCAGGTTCCGGTTCTTCCACCGGACGCCGTGGAGAACTTTCATCGCTTTGTCCCTTTCTTCCTCGCTCTTGAAGGTGACGAAGGCAAAGGTCTGCCTCCCCATCAGTTTTATCTTGTGCGGGTTGAGGCCGTATTTGGCAAGGAATTTCTTGACTTCGTTAAAGCCGACGTATCTGGGGAGATTCTGGAGTTCGACCTTATAGATCTCTGAAGTGAACAAGTCCTCTTTAATGTACCTGTACATGTTGGAAGTATCGGAAGGGTTCTCTGCATTTGTTTCTCCGGTTTGGACCGCCGATTCCGGAGTGGTACCTTCTGGATCCACCGAGTGGACGCCATCCTTGTTTTCCTCCATTGTTTCAGGTCCTGTGGAGAAAAATAATGGAATCGTCTCTCTTCTCTCTTTGTCTCTCTGCACTAAACCCTGAACCAAATCACAGGGAGATCATTGAGGGTATAAAACTAACTAAATGGACTGTCTTCAGAAAACGTAACAAACCACAATTAAACTGAATAGCAAGGATTACAGAGAGCCTTTGTGACTCTTAGCCAGAGTTATGATGGGTTATTAAGAATACTGGCTTATCCCACCTCTAGGAGCGGTGTGTTTTAAACCGATAAAACAAAAATAATACCTGTAATGAAAATCAGCTTTAAATAACTGCAAGACAAGGAGTGGCTCAACAACTGTACTGTCATTATCATCATTTAATGACCCCATAATCCCTTGTAGGGTAGAGTCTGAGTAACTGAATGGAGCTGAGTGTTTACTGGCCAGATGCCTTTCTTGTCGCCAATGCGGAGTTTTGTTCAGCAGATATATTCTCATGGTGCCCAGAGAGAAATATCTGCCTCTACCAAGGATTAAACTCACAGCCAACCCAATTGTGAGGCAAGAGTTCTACCTCTAGGCCACAGCACCATTCTTAGCAGCTGTACTCTCTAAGTTGAACAGGAGACAACTTTTAACAAACTCAGCCTAGCTAAACATTAACCAGATAACCAGCAAAATACAAGAAAGCAGAAGCCTTGGATCGATGCAGGAAGATCTAAGAAAACAGAATCATAGAGTTGGAAGGGACCTCGGAGATCTTCTAGTCCAACCCCTCATACCACCCCAGTCTATTTTTGAAAAGCTGGGAAATTGAGTGGTTGTAATGCTCAGCTTCAGCAAGCCTGGCCTCAATGGTGCTTTATTGATGTTGTGCTATTTCTGGTATAATTTTGAAAGTTTTATTTGTACTGAAATGCTGGCTGGAGAATTCTGGGAATTGAAGTCCATTCATTTTAAAGTTCCCAAGGTTGAGAAACCAACCAAAGCATCTAATTGAACAAGGTTCAACGGGAGGGGATTAAGACTACATCCCCCAGAACCCTCTGCGCAGTTCTCCAACCCAGCGCCCTCGAACCGTGCCTCCTACAAGCAGGGCCTTCCTGAATTTGCAATCCATCCGCATCCAGAGGGCGCCAGGCTGGGGAAGGTTGCAGGGACGGCCTTATGCTCGGCCAAAACCCGAACAAGCCCCGCGTGGAATTTTCCACTCACCTCACCCGCCGCCGGGCCCACCAGGCGAGCGGCCCCCCACCAAAGACCAACCTCGCAGAGCGCAGGCGCGGAAACAAGGCCGGGTTCTCTAAGGAGACTAGGCCGGCATGACGCCGCGTGCGCAGCGTCGCTCGGCCTCGCTTGGGCTTTTGGGGTTTGTTTTTTTTTCCTCCAAAGCAAGGCTTGGGGGGGGGGGGGAAATTCCCGTATATGCCTTCGTGCGCGCACGCGCGTACGTAAGGGCGGGCGTGCCCCCCCCCCCCGCGGGGGCGCGGGGGGGGGGGGGGGGGGGGGGGAAAGAGAGGTCGCGCGAGGACCGACGGGAAGGAGGGCGGGAAGCGCGCGCGAGGCCTCCCCACTCTGGTCTTCAACCCCGCCGTTCTTCTCCGCTGGGTTATTATAGAAACAAGCCGCCGAGGTTTCGGCCCAAACGCTTTTCCATTCCCGTCAGCCCTTGCGGCGGCGGCAGGCGCCGCGCGAGGGGCGTGGCCACAGCGTCGTGGGCGGAGCCAAGGCGGCGCGGCGACGGAGCTCGCGGCGGGAGCGGGAAGCGGAGGCGGGAAGCCGCGCGGCGACGGGGAGCGAGCCCAACGGGGGAGCGGCAGCCCCACCATGGCCGAGACGAAGGTGAGGCGAGCCGAAGAAGCGGAGGGCGAGCTGAGGAGGGGGTCGCGCGCCGCCGCTAGGCCCCTCAGGCGCGGGGCGGCCTTCCCTCACCGGGGGGGGGGGGAGGGCCCCCCCTAGCCCCCCCCCCCCATCTTATTCCCCCCCCCCCCCCACCGTGAGCGCCGCCTTGGGCCTCCATTTCCCAGCATTCCCTGCCTTTGCCGGTTGCGGCCGGGCCTTCGGGGAGTTGTAGTCCCGGCGAGGACGGGGTTCTACGGCCTCGTGCTTCGCTCCTTCCTCCCCCCTCCCTTCGGGGGCGGCCCACGTGCTCGGGGGGGGGGGGAGAGACGTGGGCGGAATTCCGGCGGGAAGAGTACAAGCACCCCCTCCCCTCCCCGCAAAAGACCACCTGGATTGGAAGACCATCCAGGGGCCTCCCTTGCCCCGTGGCTTTCGGGGGGGTGGGGGGGTTGCATGCTTGGCATTCCGAAGCCACCCCCGTCCAAATTGCTCCCCCCCACGAGAAGAATGGCCTCTCCCCACGAGGAAGAGTGGCTTCCCCTGGCTGGAGATCAGGGCGACCATCCCTGACTCCCCCCCCCCCCCCAAAAAAAAGCGATGCCCGCCTATTGTTTTCCCTTCCACGCCTGGCCCCAATAATGATAATTTATTTATTTAAATCAATTAATTATTGCTACGTTTTTTAATGGTGCTCATCTCCCCTACGAGGTGGCTCTGGTGTTCTCCTGTCCTCCCCCCCCCCAAAAAAAAACAAAAAGTTCCAAATTTCGATCTACTATTTTAGATGGTGCATTTTAAAAAAAGAATATTAAATTTCTATGCCTGCCTTAAACTTTGGCAAACATTTTTGTGGCTTCCTAGGTTCGCCCGTCTTTTGGACTCAGGACCCCTTTGCCTTCAAGGAGAGCATTGTGGCAGCATAACAGTAGCAAAAATAGCAAAATATTCATTCAGTAGGCTTTTACTTTACCTACAATATTCTGCTGTCCTGACAGCTTTTGTCTAAAGCCCAGATTTGTCAAATATTTCCACCCAAGTGGGGTTTAATTTATTTTAAATGGTGGGTTTGGTTGAACTGGGTTTCATATCTATGGATTTGTTTTGTATTGGAAATTTAAACGGAGAAAACCTTAAAATGTTAATTTACTTGATTTCATGAATAGCAGTGAATATCATGAATACCCCAGGGGTCCGCAGGCCACTGTTTGAGAAACGTTGGGCTAAGCAAATGGCAGTGATTCCCTTAAATAGTGGTTTTCAGGTTCCATGATTGAATTTTTTTTAAAACAAGTTTTATTCAGTTTTCCACATTTTAACAACTTTTTTTAGAGAACAGCATGATTACAGGTTTCACACATACATACAAGTATGACCATAATTACATATTCAGTTTTTGTATTCAATTTCTTATCTTAACAATGCTTTATATATTTTCTATTTTATTATATTATATGATTGAAATTTTTAAAGAAAAGAGCAGGTGTCTTTGGGTCTTCAGACTTTTGGTAAACCAGATTGCTGTAAGAAGAGTTGCAATGTGCAAAAGTTACTGGGCATCTTTATTTGTTTTTTTTGTGTGTGTGTGTTTTTTTTCAAGTACAAAATAAAGTGCAGACAAGGTTCAATTTTGCAGAAGGAAAATCTTCAGGTTTTAAAGTCTTCATTTACATAGTAGCTCTCAAATTCCAATTAATTGGTTCTCATTCTTGGTTTTTGACTAAAATACAAACAAGTGGAATGTGCAATTTGTTTATACTCTATTTCTCTGCAGACCATTGCCAAAGAGTCCTGAATAGAGCCTCAGTTTTTTGTGGCAGCATCCTGTTATTGATGTTTTTATATACTCTTTTCACTAATCTGTGCTGGTGTTTATTCCTTGGAGGAGGGAGTATGTTCACCACCCAATTAGGGTATATGTTTAATAAGGTTGGATGTCAGGTTGAGCACCATATATACCTATATTTAGAAGTGTTGCAAGCTGGCACTGGTTTTTTATAAAGTTTAGAAACTGATAAGGTAGCTAAAACATTCTAATATATAACTAAAAACATGATTTGGATTTTGCAGTTCTGTTGACTCCCATAAAAAACTGCTGCTGTTGTTTTCAGAATGAAATAGGATTAAATTAGCTTTCTAATGGAAGGCAGATGGGTGTGTTTATGAGATTGTCTACCTTAACTCTCTGAAATGATCTTCTCTAATAAGCCTTTGATGCATTTCAAGCTTTTTCTTCTAACTGCAGGAGGCACATGAGGAGCATGACTCAGCAACTGACAATGCAGATGATTCTAACCACGACCCGCAGTTTGAGCCCATCGTTTCTCTTCCTGAGCAAGAGATCAAAACTCTGGAGGAAGACGAGGAGGAGGTTTTCAAGATGTAAGCTGAAGCTGTATCTTTCTGCAATTAAATTAGCAGACAATCTTAATTTTCAGGAAGTAAACTTTCCAGGTGTAAAACTGAAGCCCCAATTTTGTGAGAAAAGTGTGGCAGGCTTAACTTTTAACAAAATGGGTTGTTTAAACTCTATTCAGTGTTGGAACTCTAGGACAGGAGTTCCCAACCTGTGGGTCGCGGCCCACTAGTGGGCTGCGAGGGGTATGCAAGCGCGCGCACACATCTTGTGCAAGCAGCGAGCGTGTACACTCCATTTAAGTGAGCGGCAGGCACACATGCCACTCGCGCAAGTGGAACTGCACACTTCCTGGCCACTCTCGTAGAACCCCTCCCGCCCCTGAGCCAGAAACATTGGGGAACTCTGCTCTAGGACGGTAAAGTTGATGGAGTTAGCAGACATGGAGAAATTGAATCTCTGAATTAAAGAATTTACCTAGTTTTGTTTCTACTTGGAAACCACTTTTGCACTTTCTGCTTGAACCTGGGGGGAAAAATGAAACTTTTTTGAGCTTAGGTTTCGATGATTAAAATGATTTTGTAATTGATGGTAACTTTTAAGGTTCTGCAGTTTAAAGTAAAAGGTCAGTATATTATTTTTTTAATCTGCTGCACTGAAGAAAGTCAGAAATCACTGCTTTTTTTGCATGTTTCTCCTTATTTTCCTCTTTTGTTTCTTCTATGTTTTATCTCATCATGAAGCTTAATTTAATTTAAACTTGTTTAAAAAGTGTTTGAACTCCATTGTACCTGACTGAAACTGAATTAACCATCCTCAAAATAAATTTTAAAGGAGTTTCTCTAGAGGCTTTTACCAAACTATGACTTGCAAGTTTGTGTTGTCTGTTGAAAAAAATTAGTTATCTCAGTTATGCTAAAAGATCCTAATTCACTATATTCTCTGGAATATTCATTGCCATTGATCTCTGTCTGTCTCTTTTGCATTTTATTTTTTCGTGAAGGCGAGCAAAACTTTTCCGATTCGCATCAGAAAACGACCTTCCAGAATGGAAAGAACGTGGCACTGGGGATGTAAAACTCCTGAAGCACAAAGATAAGGGGACCATCCGCCTCCTGATGAGGAGAGATAAGACTCTTAAAATCTGTGCAAACCATTATAGTATGTAATTTAGTATTCTTCTACTTAAGATTGCTGTATATGTTGGTATTATAACAACAAACTCTTTCTGGAGTAAAATTGATAGCTTGCTTCTGCTCTCAACAATTTTAGGAAACTATATAGGGCCCAATTACCGTATTCAGAGTTATAAGTTGGACTGTTAGAAACTGAATAACAGTGATAACATTATGAAATATATTCGACAATATTTTAAATATGGATAATAGAAAATTGGACATTCGTTCTTTTCTAGATAGACTGTTTGATCTTCCTTGCTGGTTCTTCACAGCTTTATAATATTGCTTGATAGTTTGTATTATTTTGTTGCATTACCTGCGCCTAACTCCTCCCCTCCTCACTTTAGTCACACCTGTAATGGAGTTGAAGCCCAACGCGGGGAGTGACCGGGCCTGGGTGTGGAACACACATGCTGATTTTGCAGATGAGAGTCCTAAACCGGAGCTTCTGGCAATTCGGTTTTTAAATGCAGAAAGTAAGTTACTTCTTTTGGAGAAATTAGTCTTTTTTTAAAAAAGTGGTTTTCCCCTCCTTGTGGTTTAAGGAATGACAGGAAAACCTCACACTGTTCCGTGAACCTGTTCAAGGTGCCAGGAGGAGAGTCACATTGTTAAGCCAGAAAGTCCAGTGTATTAAGAGGGATATAGATGGCGTGATGCATAGGTAGTCCTTGACTAATGACCACAACTGAGCCCAAAATTTCTGTTGCTAAGAAGACAGTTGTTCAGTGTGCTTTGCCCCATTTTACGACCTTTCTTCCCCTAGCTGCTAAGTGAATCGCTGCAGCTAAATTAGTAACACGATTGTTAAGTGAATCTGGTTTCGCAACTGGTTCGTATCTCTGATGGTCGCAGTGTCCCAGTCAGTGGGGAAACCAAATTCACTTAACAACTGTGTTGGTAACTTAACAGCTGCAGTGATTCATTCAACTACTGTGACAAGAAAGGTTGTATAATGGAGCAAAATTCTTAGCAACATAAATTTTGGGCTCAATTGTGGTCGTAAGTCAAGGACTACCTGTAC